TTATGAAAATCTCTGCTTCTGTGGTCACATTGCCTCCTACTCTTCTTCTGTCTGTGTGTAATCTCCCTCTCCCCAGCCCTTATAAGGACACATGTGATTGCATTTAGGACCCATCTGATAATCCAGTATCATCTCCCCATCTCATGATCCTTAATTACAACTTTGGTCATACAAGGTAATATTCATAGGTTTCAGGTACTACGACCTGATCCCTTTGGAGGACATTTTTCAGTCTACCATAATTGGTATATTTGCCCTTCTACTTACATTTGTCATTGGTTGAAGGTGAAAATTCCCTGGCACTATGCCCTGTCCTGCAGGGTTGAGAAAAAGAGAAAACGTTCTCAGGTTGAAAGTTGCAAGGATTTTTTAGGCATGTATGGAATGGAAAGTCCCTACAGGATGTCAATGGGACACCGATAACATGTGCTATATTACTATTATTTTTGTTATTAGTTTTTTTGTTAACAATTTTAGTTTAACAATGAATCATTAGTTACAATTGTTACTAGCTATTTTAACCTAACTTCCTGATGGACCACAATATAAATTATTTGTACTACCTGTGTGACCTTACTTGCAAATGCTATCCCAAATAGTTGAACTTGATTCTTTCTATAAGGGTACACCTAAGCATACACTGCTCTGTTATTTCCTCCAAAACACCTTTTCTTTATCTCTTTGCCACCTAAGCAATCTCTTTTATTAATCTCTATTTGGGCATGCATAATTATCTTTCTCAACTGTCTATTTTTCTTAAGTATATTTTAATAATGTCAATGGTAGAGACCATGACATATATACTTTCAAATTCTTAATGTTGTGATTTTGGATATCTACATTTATAATCTGGCACCATTTCGTAATTTTTCACCAGGAAATACAAAGCATCTATTTCACGCCTATTATGCATTTTTAGTTTCCTCAAGGTCCCTTGTTATAACATATAAATTGTCTTATGGGACTGGAACATTAGCAACCTTAATGTACCAATCCACCCAGTGACAGTTTGAATCCAGTTTGTTTACAGAAAATGAAAGAATTGTAATATGTGAGTGGCCAAGAAATCCCTGGCTTGTTTCCAAAGATCTCTGGAATATTGGGATTTTAGGTGTGGGTAAATGAATGAAATAGGGGATGTTGGAAGAGGGACAAGTGAAAAAAAGTAGTTTGGAGTTTGGTTTTAAACATGATAAATTTAAGTTCTGTGGTTACCTCGTGGAGATGTCCAGGAAGCAGGTGGCTATGGGACTGAACTTTGAAGACTGAAGCTTGAGAAAGAGATATGAATTGGACAAAAGATTTGAGAATCTCTGCAATAGGTAGATCAGCGGTTCTCAACCTGTGGGTCGAGACCCCTTTGGCGGTCAAACGACCCTTTCACAGGGGTCGCCTAAGACCATCCTGCATATCAGATATTTACATTACGATTCATAACAGTAGCAAAATTACAGTTATGAAGTAGTAACGAAAATAATTTTATGGTTGGGGGTCACAACATGAGGAATTGTATTTAAAGGGCCAGAAGGTTGAGAACCTCTGAGGTAGATGGATGAGATCATGCCGGGAGAGCAAGCACAAGAAGAGAAGTAGCCAAGTGTGCCAAGAGTAGAACCTTGAGAGTCAACATTGAAGAGGCCAGAGAAAGAAGGAATGGAGGTAAGAGAACCTGGAGTAGAGGCTGTGAGGGGAGTGAAGGGAGTCAAAATTCCAATGTGAGAAAGGAGAAATGGCACAGAGAGATCTGAGAGATTAAAAAAGGAAAGAAGGAAGGAAGGAAGGAAGGAAAGAAGGAAGGAAGGAAGGAAG